TCAATATTGTGGTGCTGCCTTTAAGTATTTGCCCAAACCATTCCCCAAACAAGAATTGGCTCTTGTCTGCCAGTCCGTGTATCACTTTATCCAATGCCAAGATCAAAACTCACTTGCTCACTTGGTCTTACTGATCCCTCTTCAGTCCACCTCGCTGGAGGCACATCCTAGAGGTAAAATACACTGCTCAATTCCTCTTACATTGATTTGCTCAGAAAGAGCTATAACTTGGATTGAATATAGACAAACAGTGGCAAAATACATCGCCCAAACCCTGTGTGCTTGAGAAAATTCTGGGTTCTGGCCAGGAGCTCCAGTGCACTTTGGGCGGCAGAGGCTCAGAGAACATGTCCATCTGGCGGACTCACAGCATCCCCACCCCTCTGCTCGAAGGGCACTGTGCTGGGTACTGTCCAGGCACAAAGAAAATTCCTGGGCCTCATTTTTCTCATCCATTTTTAATTTCTTTTCTTTTGCTGTAAACTCCTGTAAGCCTTCTTAAATCCTTCTGCCACAAGATGGGAAACACCCAAATCATCAAAGATGGTTCTTGCCTGCTTAGATCTCAAAATGTGGAAGAACAGGGTAAACAGAAAGCACGGAGCTGTAGCACAGAACACGAAACAATAAGCACCTTGAAATAGACACAACGTGCTGCTAAGGTTCCAAAGAAGGAAGACATCGCCCCCCTGGGGAGGGCAGGTGGTGGATGATGAGACAGAAGAATCGGATTTGGACAGTGGATGGCGGTGGAACTGGGTTTTGAGATTTGATAACGGCAGGGAGATTGAGGCGGAGGGTTGGGCCATCCAGGTGAGAACAGCATAAATAAAGAAACAGAGGTTAGAATAAGGAGCGTGTGATTGGGCTAAAATAGTAACTCACAGATACTAACTAATATATATAAAATAGATAAACCAGTTTATACCATATAGCACAGGGAACTATATTCAATATCTTGTAGTAACTTATGGTGAAAAAGAATATGAAAATGAAAATATGTATGTTCATGTATGACTGAAGCATTGTGCTGTATACCAGAAATTGACACAACATTGTAAACTGACTATACATCAATAAAAATTAAACACAAACAGAAAAACAATAACTCACATCAGCAGAATGACTATTTAGGAGTTAAAACTCGTCCTATCTAAAAAGGGTAGACTTTTTTTCTTTTTTTTTTTTAATTGAAGTATCGTCAGTGTCCAATGTGTCAGTTTCTGGCGCACAGCATCACGTTTCAGTCATACATGTACATACGTATATTCCTTTTCACGTTCTTTTTCATTAGCAGTTACTATAAGATATCGAATACAGTTCTAAATAGAGTAGATTTTTGATATGCCTGTTTTGTCTGGGGAGTTCAGACTGAGAAAAGAAAATGTATGTGTTCATAGTATTTGTCATTGAAAATGTCCACAATTACCAGATGCTCACTTACAAATGCAGGGACTGAAGAGCCCCTGTGTCCACACACACGATGGCTGCTTTCTGCTCAGGCAGAGAGAAAATCAGGCAGGAGAGCCACCGGCTTACTCTCTAGCAAAGATTCAAATTCCGTGTGTGAGATCCACACCCCTGTAGAATTCCATGTTCGAGTCTGGCAGCTCTGATCTGGGGTCACACTTCCCGGCTTAGATCAGGCTGCATGTGCGGATCAGATGCTGGCGGGAAGGGGAGAACCGGCGACGCAATTACTACACTGAAGCCGACATACTATAGCATCTTCTGGACTCAGTGACAGGGTCTTGGTGACAGGTTTCCCCACCCTAAGAGTCAATCACTTTGACTGACGCACAGAACTGCTCATCTCTCTCCTCCCCGGGGAGGGAAAGGGGAATCAAGTGCAATATTGGAGAGTAAAAAGTGGTTTTATACTCATCATCTTAATTTTCTGTGATGGAGAGAGAAGGGAAGAACGAGAATCCTAAGTGGCAGAGAGAAGTTCAAGGTTAATTTGATTGGCAATATATGAAATGCCACTTACCTCGGGCCATTTCAAATTGCCCCTCATTCTCTCCACAGTAAATGAAAAGATTCTTTCCAAAGACGGGGCATCAGCGGATAATGGCAGCTATTACATATTCATACACCACTTTACATTCGGTAGCTTCCTTGGCAGGAATTCTTACAAGGCTGTCTTCACAGATGCCATAGTGGAAAGGTGAGGTAGGGACTGGGTGCTTTTTACTGGACAGAGGCACAGAGGCTGGACAGTACGCGGGGAAGCGAACCACACCTGTGCTCGGCAGGTGATCTCTGCCTGCACCGTCTGCGTGCTGGGAGATGCGCTTTCCAAAGACCGCGTACTTGACACGTTATTTAAGAACCATGTGCATAAGCCACAGTTTTAACAACAGGGAGTATTTCTCAGGGCTGGGAGCAGGAGGATGACAAAAAAATCACTTGTGCCTTAAAACATAACGAGAGACAATTCTCTTTTCTACATGAAGGGTGATTTCCTCATCCTAGAGGAAATGAGAAAGTAAAAAAAAAAATTGAAGGATTTAAAAAAAACAGCAAAAGTCATAAATTTTAACATGCAGTTGAGTTCCCAAGAGGTGATGCAACCAAAGCACATTCCTCTAGAATACAGTGTCAAAGAAACTAGGGTTAGACCAATCCGACACTCGCCTGCTGTCTAGTACGCACGCGGTGCGACGCTGGTCAGTTCACCCCCGTTTAAGCCAGCTTATTCTGCACAGCAAAGATTCAGCCACAGACAGAGCTCCTAAAAGCAGCCCTAGGAGACCTGAAAAGTAAATAGGGGTGGCTCGATGTGCGCCATCCCAACTTAGGAAGAAATGGAGAGGACAGAGATCACTCAGGCGGGGCCATTAACTTCACATTTTTAGTACCATGACCTCCCTCCTGTCTCCCCCTCCCTCCCTCCCTCCTCTCTCTCTCCTCTCCCTCTCCCCAGTTATTCAGTGACATGGCCAACTGCTGAATTGCTTTTCATGATTAACTCTCTTCTTTCAAGGTCAATGATGACTTATCATGATGACAAGGTAAAGCACAATTCAGATAAACCTTGAAATGTTGACCTAGCCTAAGTTCAGGGTAATTAAAAGGTGTGCCTATGCCTGCGCCAACTGTTTGAAGCACATTTGCTAGAAACCTAATGTCTGGGAACTTCCCCCGAACATCTGTTCGTGGGTTTTCTTCCCAGGCCTGTCGTTCGGGGCAATTTTCATAAAGCTCTAAAAATCTGCCTGATATTCATGATGGCAAATAAGTTGGAGCTGATTTTTTTTAATTAACTTTAAATAACAATTTCTGATTTTAAATTAGGAGAAAAAGACTTTCTGTTTATATGCTGCATAAGGTGAATTCAAATACTTTAGGTAAATGACCGCCCGGTGGGTGGAGTCTGTGTTCTGACACACCGTGGCATTTCCTGAAAATTGTTCCTGAGAGTTATTCTGACCACAACTGTTTTCAGGGCAATTGATTTTTTATTACTAATGGGACTGGCGCTCCCAAATGCATAATGTAGAGAGAGAGAGAAAATCAGAGCGAGAGGAGGCATTCCCAGTGGAACTATTCTAGAAGAGTCTTGCCTCCCCACCTCTAGACATCATTCCAGGATGCCAGGATGCATTTTGGCTGTTTACGTCTTGCAGGGCACTCCAGGGCATTGCTCAAAGAACAAGAGGCACAACTCTGACTCTAAGAGAACAGTCGATTCATCCAAGTTCAGCAGTGCATCAGCTGGAAGTGGCAGAACTTGAACAAGGAAAGCCGCAAAGAAACAGGAGTGTGTCTGAGTAAACTAAATTCACTTTGGAAAGAAAAAGTCTATCTAGGGGTTTGTGATTCAAAATATAGAAATGTCTAAAACAAACAAACAAATAAATAATAAAATAAAATACAGAAATGTCTAAAATAACTGTGCCACCCAGAGTGGGAAGACCAAAAAGGAGTGGGCAAACGGACCTATGTTCTGAGATGAAACTTGCCGGGGTAATGATGTTGGAGGTCTGCTCTACCTCCGACAGACCCCGGGGCCAGGGAGCAAGTTCAATTGCAGCTTCCATATCATTCTGTGGTTTCTCCAGTGCTCGGGCTCAGCTGCAACAATAACGTTATCTCTCAGGCTATTCTCCAAATTTTAAAAAACTGTTACTCATCTGTAAAATGAAGACCATAATCCCTCCGTGCTAGGGCTGTGGGCAATCGTAAGAACACGAAGCTCAGCACCCTGCCTGGCGTGCGGTGAGCTCTCAACACATTAACGCTCTTATCATTCCTGTCGTGAGTATCACTTTTCACTCTGAGGTGTTTAGCTGGGAACTGACGTTACTGGAACAGATGTATACTTCACCATAATCCGTCTTGTCCGTTCACCTCCACCCAAAGAGTATGTGGTGCGTCCATCCTATGTTCTAGGGGCCGGAGAGGCAGGGGGGCTAAACCGCAGGTGATCAGAGTCAGGTGGATGGAAGACCAATCGTGGCTGATGGGGTTCTGAGCCTTCAGACCGGCCCAGGCAGTGTCAGTGTACAACCTCAGAGGCTTTGACAGCCCCAGCTTCTAGAGAAAAATGAGTTATTTGGGGGAAAAAAGTTAACAAACAAAACTTTTGTTTTCGCAAACCTAGGTCTCTCTCTAAGTAGCCAGGTGTACTCCAAGTAAATATGAGCCACAGAGCAATGTAAGAGGCCCATTTGGGAGAAGCTGTGAGCATCTTGAAGTCAGGAAAATAAAAATATGAGTTCACTTAATGGAAAGACAGCCCCAGGCAGCACTAAGCCATTAGGACTGATGGCTATTCCACGGCAAAGAACTCGAAAGGTGAAAACAAGCACCTTCCAGCTCTGTCCTGGGTTTAGTCACATCGATCCACACCCACGCCCGTTTTCACACTCTTTCTACTCCCAGGCTGTCCTGCGATGCACATTTGACTCCAATACACACACGTCAGCAGCCCTGCCAAGGCCTTCAAGTACATGTAGATGTTCTAAATGATAAGCAAGTGCTTGCATTAACTTAAGCTAACACATGAAGTCTTAAGGGGAAAAAATAGACTACATGACTACTTTTGTGGTCTTTAATACTGACAACATTCTTCCTGCCTTTAAAACATTCTTTTTGATATCATTCCCTAAAACAGCCCGATTTTATTTACACTAAAAATTAGCTGTGCACAATGCCATTGTCTCCTTACTTACTTATAACATTTCAGGATAATTTTTGCTGCTTTTATAGTGACACTAGCCTTCCCAACCTCTCACTTCTACATTTTGAACATTGGTACAAATTTTAAATCTATTGAACCACCCAAGGCTAAACACAGCGTTGCATTAAAAATCTTGCACTTTCCTTGTACATAATTGACAACAATTCTTTGTTTTAATTATCATTTAAACATACCTCATACATTTAAAAATTTCATTCTTCATCTACATTATTGTTAATTTTCCATTTAGATTTTGTTTTTTAAGTGCTCAAAAAATCCATCCTAATGCCAAAATCCATCCTAATGCCAAAGTAGGAGTTATTTATGAAATGGAAATGCTACCAGTAATGTGGATAAAGAATGAAATTTAATAGCGAATTGTAGGACTTTGTAAGTATCTGGCAGAAAGTAAAGCACTTGATACGTATCATCTCATTTAATCTTTAGGACAACCTTCTAAGGTGCTGGTGTCATCACACCCATATTACAGATGAGAAACTGAGGCTGGGAGACATTAAGCCATTTGACAAAGGTCACACAGCTAAGAGACAAAATTCAGAACCCCCATCTGTCTCACTCCAGGAACAAAACACAAGCATTACACCACGGGCAGAAAATTTTACATGCTTCTTTATGCACATGCTTTTGTGCAAAATACTTCTCAACACTGAGATAGCCAAAGGAAATCCACACACAATGGAATAAAAGCTTTGGCACTTTGCAGCCTCTTTAAACTTTCATTTTTTTTTCCCTTCTAATATACCCCTTGCTATTGCTGGGTTTCCATTCAGTCACAGTCAGAATGCCATAAAGGAGGTAATAACTCAAACGATACTGAAGTAACACTTGCAGCCATAGCAAAAAAATCCCTGAGCAAAACAGAACAACAGGAAAGCAGAGTCAAAAGGCCTTCGCCCTGTGGTGGCTGCTGCCTGCCCAGCGCCCTGGCTTCGCGACAATCAGCCACACACCACACAGCGACAATTTCCATCTCTGAGATGTCATTACCGGCCTCCTAGAACAATCTGTGTAAGGTCATATTTGCATAAGTCAAGTGTTCCACAGGCTGTACAGCGTCTTTACCTAATGCAGGATTAAATCACTGGCGTGGACCGTAATCAGCCCACCAGATTGCCG